CTTTGGATCTGTTTGTGATATTTTTTCCAAGGTTGCAAACATTACACTAACAAATTTTGTATATGCTTGGTCAACCAAATCCCTAGACTGTCCCTGAATGTACTGCTCCATACGAGTTGCAAGGGTTGCAAATCTTGGAATGTAGGATAGGACACCAATTTGGCGAACATTGCGTTCATTTCTTTCAATTTGATGGCAAGCTTCATCAACAAAACGGCTGAACTGCATAGATATCCGAGACTCTAGGTCACCAAGCAAAAGACGTACGAATCCTGCTGCATCAGCTTTCTGACCAGAAAGACAACGTTCTGTTATTCCATGCATTGATATGCAGCGTAAAGGATCAATCTTGTATGCCCAATCCACAACAGCATAAAAGTCTTCTTGAATTCCATCCAGTAAATCCTGAAGTGATTCATTTAAAGCTGCAAGCTCCGCGGAATTTTTTCCAGATTTACTGTCATTCTCATCAATGTCCACAATTCCCAAATCATCATCATCGTCATAAACAGCTTTATTTCCGTTAACAACACCTCCAGGAGGAACAAGTGTGGGAACTTCAAAGCACATAAAGTGTGCGAAAAACGAACTCTCATCCACCAGAAGTGGGATAAAGATTGTGAGCATTTGGCTGTATAATCATTCCAGGAGCCTGATCATACCCGGTTGCTTGAGGTCCCTGAGGAAGCCCGCCAGTTTGTACATGTGTCATGACCATTTGAGTGAGTTGCATTGGCTGCGGGTATGGACTGCCTGCTACTGGACTACCGTCGTCTGCAGATTGAGTTTCCCAAGGAGGAGGTGGGAATGATCCACCACTTTGTGCACCATAAGCGGGTGAAGGTGGCTGCTGCGGCTGCACAACTTGACCATTCCAGGCAGGACCAGTACTTTGAGAATATAGTGATTGCTCATAAATTACAACGGTTAAAGATGGACATTTATAAAGCTTAGCACTTTTTGTTCATAAAAATATCTGTGTTGACGGAGAATTGCCTTTTATTCTATAGCCAGTATATTAACATGGGAGCCACGGATCAAACTCTCTTACAACACGGTTTCACGCTGCAGCACTTCTTTTCTTTAGTTGAGAAATGAATAATATGCTTAGTTATGTGCCTGTGACTTGAAAGGGGTCGTAAAGTTGTCCACGAACAATAGAATGTTTCTAAAGCTTGTGCAGAAAAACTGTTATTGCTAAGGTCTAATAATTGTAAGTTTTTTGCCTTTGCAATAACAGTTGAAAATTGTGGAGTGAATTGGCACTCAGGAGATGAATTTCTTTGACATGAACTAGCACAGCTGTCGTCAATTCCAGAAGCAGCAGCTTCTAACCTATCTTCACTATCCGCAACTTCCAGCTGATTGGCAAAAGTATCTAGAGATCATAACACCTCTTGATTATCATCCACTTTCACAGTATCAAGTTTCTGCTCCTGGTTCTGTGAGCAGCTTTTAGCTGATACATCATCACATTGTAGAACACAAAGTTCCGTTGTAACAGAGTTATCAGCAAGATTAAGCTCCTCCAGACTGCTGTTATCTGCAAGAGCCTCAAGTATGTGAAGAACTCCAGCAAGCCCAAGTTGACACTTCCTAAGGACCAAAACTTTGAGACAGCACTGTGGGTTTATGAGAAGCAAAAATAGAGTATTGCAGCCCTCGGACATTATGGGATTTCCTTCCAGGTTCAGCTCAAGGATGGAACAAAATGAATTAACATTGATGTTTAAAATATAATCAGATGTTAGCCCACAATATGATAGGTCAAGTTTCACAAGCTCCTCGGTCCCTTTTAGCAATGATTCTGTTACTTTCACGGCCCCTTCGTTTCCAATACCAGTGCCCCCAAGTATTAGTCCTGATAAAGTCAAGGTCCCTCCAAGCTGGCAAAGGCTATCGACAACCGGTTTGCCTAGCTTTAGACCACTCATATTCAACTCCAAAAACCTTTTTAAAGTAGAAAGCTTGGATAGAAGATTAACTAAAGCATTCCCAGATACAGGGCTGTTGTGTCCTATACAAAGGTGTGAAAGTACAGAGGTAGAGTCCAATGCATCAGCAATTTTTTGAATGGTTCTGGATGTGATACAGCAGTTCTCTACATTCAAGCTACAGAGAGCTGTACAGTTTTTTTTTTTAAATTGTTGAAAGATAAGATCCACAGGCATCAGTAAGACGGTTTCCAGAAATGTTAAGCACTTCGAGGCGAGCAAATAGCAGAGAGCATTCACAAATCTGAAACAAAGCTGTTGGGCCAAATCGGTTGCAGTGCAAGTCCAGAGTTAAGTCACCGTAAGATTGACCCGATGTTGTGAACACTTTTCGAAGTTTCTCCATTGTCCCATTTCCTAAGCAATTGTGAGAGATATCAAGTAAAGAAAATGCCATTTGGGAATGCACTGCATCTATCAATGGGGTTATAGACAAATCTTGCAGATCACAGTCCGATACAATGATTTCATCATCTGATACCTCTAAATTGTAAAGTTTCTTCAGCACCTTGGTCTTTGGTTCCTCACTCAACTCCTTGCAGCGGTCTACATACATTCCTATTAGGCGCTTCTGAATCCACCCATCAATGAAAGCTTCAACCATGTTGTTTTGCAGATGCTCCTTAAGCTTTTCAACACTTTCCAGCAACTCTATATCCCTACCAGCACATTTTATGTGCTGAATAATGGGCAACAAACCCTCTGATCTCTTTTCTGTTGGAAATTGTAGATAGTATAGGCATGCAACTGCAGCTTTTAACGAGCCAATGTTGAAATGTTCACCAGCAGCACACAAGGCTGCTTCAACATAAATTATATCATTCCCGATCCGACATGCAATATATTTATCATCTTGAGAATGATGTGTAATGGGATGGGCAACACCATTTTGTTTGCCAGAGAGAACTGTATCGCATTTAGAACCACTGTGAAACTCAAGTTCAACAGCTAAATCATCGCTCAATGATCTGGAATGTCTGCATGATTTAGTGGTTGCATTTGTACTCCAGCTTTTGAAAGAACTACTACTTTCTTCAACATTAATTGCACATTTGGAGTAATGATAAACCAATCGCTCACTATGAAACAAATAAGCAGTAAATGGCCGCACTATAACTGCACCACAGAACCCTGATTGAAATTCCCAAATCCCACATGATTCTTCATCGTGAACTTAACACAACCTGATATATGGGTTCACATGTAGCTGTTTTGATTTGACACATAAACCATAACTGCAACCTCAAATAAGCACCTTTGAATTGATACACCTTGACTTGACAAACCACTAATGAACCTCCATCCAATTTAGCAACAACATGATTTCGGTCAGCAAGGAGAAATGAGAGAAACAACATATTTTTATTTTTCTCCCCCTGACAATCACATATGCCTATCTGTTTGTCTTTAAGGACCTTGACTTGTCTCTGATAAGGGTAACCACTTGATGACTTGAATATAACCTCCTTGATCAGGTTAAAAACCATTGGTGATTTTTTGTTAGACGCACACTTCTTGACCCCCCTGTGAAATGCAAAATGCTATGCAATGCAATGCTTATGTATATGCTGATGCAATGAAATAAAACATAAGCCATAGAGGTCGGTCAAATTTTGGGGTGCAACACTCCCCAAGAAAAACTTAAAGGTAAATATAATATCCATAGCAAAGTAAATCTATGAAATAGCTCACCAAAATGAAAAAAGACAAACTAGGAGTCCTGACTCTCTACTCCAGAAACCTTAATAAAGAAAGGAAGACTGAGAGAAAGGGGAATCATTTTTTTACCTCGAAAGAAGAAAATTTGGGATCTCACATACTTTAAAAGGAAGCACGATCTAGTAGAGGAAGAAGGATTGTGCAAGAAAATGGGAACATCAGAAGAAACCCTAGACGAAGAAGAAGAATAAGAGTTCATCGAATTTACAAGTAGTGAAAAAAGAGAAGGGGAATGGTCTAAAAGCTTATTATATACATTTCTACTGTAGTGGGTCATGCGATCTACCACATCAGGAAGTAGAAACTGCACTACCAACGATCGAGATCTCATCGTAAACTTCTCAAAAGTACTCCGAGTATCTTAAGATAGAGAAGGTATCATTACTGTCAGACATATGGACACGTGTTATAACCTCCATACGAAACATCAATAATGAAAAGTAAGGCATCTAATGCATCTGGTCCCGATGCTAATGACGTACCATCAAGACTATTCACTTACCCTTGATAGCTGTCAGTCTAAAGGTGGACATGACAAAGTCCTCACTCTACGACATATTAATAAGGCTTTGGGGGGCAACTGTTGTAGGTTGTTGGCAAGGCCCAAGATCGATTCCCAAGTGGAAAGGTACAAGAAGCCGGTAGACTTTCTCTTGACTAGAAGCAAACAACCATGCACCTCAACGCATCAATCACATTTCGATCCAATCAGACAATTCACACAACACGTCGCTTCACACATCATTGATTTCAACTGCTCTTGATATTTAAGGGTGAAGCACACCATTTCAAGTATTAAAATTATTCTCATTCATACATACTTCTAATTTCTTTCACTAAGTTTACCATTTGAGAGCTAACAATACAAGTCAACACCCTCTCCATTACATTGAAACACAATTTCAATAACTCATCTTTCATTTTTAGATCCTAACCTTAACACTTTCCATCACACTAATTTACTAACTTTAAATATTTTTCATAAAAAAATAAAATAAACACTTACTTTAAAAATGAAAAAATATCTTCGTAGAATAATAGAAGTCATTTTCATGAATTCGTATGCCTTGGTCGACCCATACGCAACACAGAAAGATAATCCTACATTAAATCCAAAATACAATATTCGTGAAATAGACATCGTATATTTTTTCGGTAAGCGTGAAAAAGATATAATGAACGTTGACTACGAAGCTAAACTCTGTGCAATAATTGCTCGGCAAAATAATGGTTAAACAAGCACCGATCATATAACTTTCCAAAATCCAATTCCAAATCTTCATCAAGATGATGAACAGCAACGGCAACGACGGTTCTGATAATAGTCTCACATATATCCTAACGTTTGTGTTTGGTCTTGTATTCTTGCTTCTTACAATAGTTGTTGCTTGTGTTCGACTTCGTATGTCACAAAATCGAAGCATGCTCAATATTTTGTCTAGTTTTCCACTACATCATCAGGAAGACTCAACCGTGGAACAAGGAGTTGGTCGTCATAGGGACAAAAGTATTGAAGGACATACGAAGCTTTTATACTCTCAAATTCAGAAGAATATAGGTGGCTCTTCAACTTCAAGTTGCTCTATTTGTTTAGGGGATTACAAAGAAAGTGACATGTTGAGGTTGCTTCCTAATTGTGGTCATCTTTATCATGATGCTTGTGTTGATCCATGGCTTAGGTTGCATTCCAATTGTCCCATCTGTAGAAAATCATTGCTAGTTTCAACCTAGTGTTTGTCTTCAATATTAGGAGCTTGTACAGTAAACTAAATCACTCTTTAATTTTCTCTGTGTATATATTAATTGATAGATTTAATGTGTTTTTCTCCATGATTAATAACGATCTAGTGTAAATACAACAATTCAGTGTAATTTCACCATGATTTGACGAGAAAATGAAACGGTGATAGAGATTGAATATTAATTAATATTATGCGAGTTTATACTTTATAAATATAATGTCTTTTTTCGTCTTTTGATTTAATTTTTATATTTTGCTGTCATCATTTGCGTTTGTATTTGGGTATTCAAGAGTTGTGGTTTTAATAAGAAAAATGTTATTCTTACACTCTTTCCTATATTCTACACCTAATTTACTGTTCACAAATACGTGAACGTGAACAAATTTCTCAGAACATAATTAATAGTATTTATTTTATTGGTTAATGAAGTAGTGAAAGTGATTAATATATTATAGGTAAAATAATTGGTTAATGATGTAGATTTTTGTGGTTAATGCAACTGTAAAATTGATTAATGTGCAATCTTATATTCGTGTTATAAAATAAATTTTAAAAATAATTTTTTAAATAAAAAAAACACTGTTCACCGTATAAATACGGTGAACAGTATATACGATGTAGGAAGTAGATGTAGAATGTGGTGTAAACATATCGGCCGTATGTTTATCAAAAAAAATAAATAATATCGGCTGTACGAATAACTCCACGAACAGGCAAAGTGATGCGTGGATTTTCATGAACATACAAATATAAATAAAAGAAAATTCTAGGGTGAAAATTACTGAAGTCACATTTTGACCATCATACATACAACTTATTTTGTAATTTTATAATAATAAATATTACAGTTAAGTCCCTAACATATTAAAAGTGATAAAATTATTCTAATCTTTATATTGATTTTAAATTTTAATTATAAGTTTATTATGAAAATCAATTAAAACAATAAGTTTCGATCATCTTTTTCATCTTTCTCATTTCATCAAAATCATTGTTCTTTATCGTTCTCATTTCCTCCGTCATTTTTAAGAAACTAAAGTTATTCATCGTGCTCATTTTTGAACCCTAACACTGCAGACGAACATCAACATAATATTCATTGTATTCGTCCGCCATTGTTAAACTCTTCTTCATCGGTCTCATTTCTTTTTCCATTTTAAAAGAAATTGAAGTTATTTACTCATTTCCAAACCCTAACACTGTAGACGAACATCAACATAACATTTATAGTTCTTTTGAAGTTGCCCATTCAATTGCTCATCAAACATAACACGACAAAAAATTTGCTCGTGTTCGTATTGACAACACTTTTGCTAAGGTAAAACCGAAAATGTTTGTTATATTTATTTGAAATTAATTATTAAGATTTACTGATTTCAAATAAAGTATTATTGGGGGTGTTAAATTCGATTTCAATTTGGGAACATGGGTACCTTTGATTTAATTAGGAAACTAGGTATTGTGATTGATATTGAATTTACTGATTTCAAATAAAATAGTATTGGGAGTGTTAAATTCGATTTCAATTTGGAAACATGGTTACCTTTGATTTAATTAGGAAATTAGGTATTGTGATTGATATTGAGCTTTTTTATGTTAAAAATTGTGTTAATTTTACATTAAAGGGTATAGGACAATCTCTTGCTGCACCTTAGTGTATAAAATCATATCTAAAGTGATGCCTACAAGAATGAACAAGGTGTTGAGTATCATTATTAGTAGGAGTCAAGCGACTTTTGTGCATGTACAAAAGATTTATGACTTTGTCTTACTAGCTTATGAGCTTATCAGAGGGTATAATAGAAAATGAGGTTGTTATGGGCTGAATCGAGACCTGCCCCTCAGTCGGCCAGGTCCAACCCAATACTACGTTAGGGAGACCCAACAAGACCCGATTCCCCCTTTGTCGGGCACACGTAATACTGCCGTCGAGCAGACCACTACCTATCACAGGGAGCTCCCACACGTCTCTCTCGCGTTCTCCACTTGTTTCCCACGCGGGAATACGTCATCAGGTAACTACCCACTTCCGAAAGAGCTGGTCAGTCCACCTTCGAAAGTTTACGAGGCAATTGATCCAGGGAGAATACCACGTGTTGGTCTTCCCTATGCTACGTAAGCCATGTCAGTTACTCATATTAGGCCTTGCAATTCGGTCTAATGCAAAGTAACCGTTGACCCTGCACTAGGGACACATTATAAATACCCTATTTCACTAGAGGGTCAGGTATTCCATTCTACACAACTAATATCTCTGTACTTGCTTTTCTAAACTCCGTTACTCACTTAGGCATTGAAGTACCTTGCAAGTACACCCCCTGTCCTCTTCAACACTGATGAAAACAGGAGCTCACGACGTGTGGCAGGCCGCTGATTCCTTTCTGATCAGGTAAGATCAGTGGCGCCGACTGTGGGACCCTTTGCTTCCCCGTTCTTTCTCCTATACAAGCGTAGAAGCTCAAGAACCAAAGCAACATCCAACTTCCGTTTGATCATGGCCTGCTCACGCAATGACAAAGCTCCAGAAACCGCATTCGTCCCCTTCACCAATGGTGACGGCCACGATCCCAATGTGACCGTTCACGTCAAGGATGGCGATTCCAGGGACAGGCACACCGCCTCTCCCTCCTCAGAAGATGCGACCTTCAACGCCGCCTACCGCTTTGATAGCTCGATAGTCTACCAGCCAATCCTGGTGCCACCCAGCGCTGACCCCACCATGGTGGCCTTGTTCACTGTGATCAACCAGACCAACTTGATGATCTTCCAGCAGAATGAACGCATATGGATGCTTGAGAAGGAATGAAAATCAGGCTCTCCCCCGCGGAGACATCGTCGCCCCATCTCTAGCAGCCCCTTTCCTCCCCCGCGAAGGACGCGACACGATGAATCTCAAAGACCTTCTCCCCGACCTACTGGATGTCACCCTCGCTTGGAGCTACCTCATCCAGTGGCCTCCCAAAAGTGCGACCTCTCACCTCTCCAGAAGGAGAGACGCTCCCCCGTACAGAAAAGGAACAAAGCTGAAGGAGGCACCGAGAAGCCAAAGAGCCGCCAGAGGAGTCCTCCCCGAAGAAACAGAAACAATCTCGGTGACCTTTCCCCTTCTCGGTCACCTGTCAAGAGCGACGAGGACGACCAACGCTCACCACTATTCAGGGCCATCCAGGGAGACTCCATTGTCCGTCGGGAAGGAAAATCCCCCGCCCTTGGCGACATACGATGGCACGACCGACCCGAACGATCACATAGAAAGGATCGATGCGATGCTCGACTATAGGAACATAAAGTGTAGGTTTTTCCCTACTACCCTGAGGAAGGGTTCCATGATGTGGTACAAGTGTCTCGCGCCCAAGTCTATCACCTTCTGGGGAGAACTGAAGAGGCAGTTCTCCAGGAACTTCACAGCTTCCCGACGCCATCCAAAGACAGAGGTAGCCCTGGAAGCCATCATCCATGGAAAGAACGAACCTCTTCAGGACTACATAGAGAGGTTCAACCAAGAATCTGTCCAGGTGGCCACCTCGGACGACATGAAGAAATTCCTGATTGAGCAAGGACTGCATCCTCGCACCTACTTCACCAAGGCCGTCGGGATTGAACGGACCCACACCTTGAATGCTCTCCTCTTCAAGCCCAATCGTACATCCAGTATGAGGAAATAGAGATCACCCACAATTCCCGCAACATGCGGAATCAAGAGGGAGTCAGGGGTGTCAGGCACAAGGATGTCGTTGTTCCTCGAAGAGGCGGAGAAAGAAGAAGAGAAGACCGACCCCATGAATAGAGGGGTCCGGAAGACTTGTTCACTGAGTACACGTTACTCACAGCTCCCAGCAAGCGCATCCTGGCCTAGTGTATCAGTTCAAAGTTTCAGAGAGGCGGTGTCCGTTTCTTGAAATCGACGCCCCGAAGCCCAACGTCGGCAAATCCAAATACTGCCGATTCGACCAGAGTCATGGACACGTCACGAAAGATTCCATCCACCTTAAGGATGCAATTGAGATCCTAATCAAGGAAGGGCACTTGAAATAGTACACCCCGAGAGGCGAGGCTCCTTGATAAGAGACCCGCGAAGCCAAGAGGGTCGAGGAAGTGTCACTGCCTTCCAAAGAAGTCGGACTACAGGTCGCCCTGTGTGTCTCCCGACCAGAGGATTTTCTCATTCTCAGCGAGCCCACCACACTTTTGTCCGCCCGTAGTTCATGGGAGGACTTCCCCGCCGCCTTAGTCATATTTTGTGGGGGCCCCAACAAGGTCTCAGTCGGGTCGGTCAAGAGAAAGTTCGAGGAGATGATCGATAAAAGCTCGAAGATGAATTCTACCCTCGACAAGTTCAAAGGTCAATCAACCCGATTACCTTCTACCTCGAGGAGCTCCCCGGGGGTGCGCCCGACTCCAGCATCCCCATCTTGATCAGGGCCCAGATGGAAAACTTTGACGTGCGCCGAATCTTAGTCGGCCAAGGGAGTTTATTGGACATAATGTACACCCATCTGTTTACGACCCTTTAGCTCGATGAGAGCCACCTAACCCCGTATGTTGGCTCTGACCTACATGACTTCAAAGGAACCACCATGAAGCCTTGGGAACACGTGGAACTGCTCGTCACATTCGGAGTCGAGGAGACCTCCAGGCAAGTAAAGGTCCACTTCTTGGTGATCGAATGCCCTTCTTTGTACCAGTGTATCCTGGGAAGGCCGACTTTAGCTGAACTGACCATAGTGCCATCTACAGTACACTAGAAGATGAAGTATCACACGACCAGCGGACGAGTCGTCGCCCTCCACGGGGACATTGAGGCGGCCAAGAGATGTTTCGAGGAAACAATCAAGGGCCTCAACTCAATCAACATCACCCTTAAGACGACCGATAAACCAGCCCGGGCTATAGAGCAGAAGCCACTACCCCCGCGTCAACTCCGATGACCTCGACAACCAGTTCCATAACAAACAAGAGTAGACCAAAAAGTCTGAGGATGCACCTTCA